TTGCTGTTCAATTCCATATTGAATGGATATTCCAAGAAGAAATGGTGAAGCGTTTATTCCGAAGGGTAGACGACAAAATCGAAGAAGTTGTACATTGTCCTGAGTTGGAGGTCGATTGACGTTTTTAAGCCAGAGAAATCGCACAGAGTCTCTTTCGGATTCTTGTAGGTATATCATATGGAATGCTTTCTCGACGTCAGCAATCATAATTAGCGGGCCCAGTCGGGCTCGTAAAAGTATACCGCATAGGTTTGGTAGAATCAGTGGTCCTTGGTGTATTACATCGTTAAGGCTCAGTTGTCCTTTCATCTTGGAGGAGGCATCGAGGACTATGCGTGTTTTAGTTGTCACGCTTGATGCCTTTATTACCGCTTGGTGTGGTATGTAGTAAATGGGGTTGATCGCATTTGTCACGTAAGGGGCTTCTTCCACGAAGCCTTTGTCTAACTGTTCTTTTATAATGTTGCAGTAATCGTCCCAACACTTGGGGTTTTTGATTTTCATTTTGTATAGTTGGTGCAGTCGACTTAGGGCTAAGTTGTAGTTGTCGGCTAGTTGGTGTTTGTTTGTTTTCCAAGGAAATTGTATGTAGATTTTTCCGTTTCTATTCTGAACGGTGGAGTAGAAATTTGCAATTATTTGTCTATTAAGCTCTTCATTTGTCTGGAGTTCATCAATGCCTACGCCTGGCAGTTTCCAAAGGTCTGAATAGTCTAGATCAGAGTGTTCATACGAACACTGCGTGGTATATGTGCGGATAATGTGGTCGTAAAAGTGTTGGGGTTCTGTGTCGCTTGTGGTTACCGTTCCGGAAATGACTGGACCAAAGAAGGTTGGAGTCATAAATAACCCTGAGGGTAGTCGTATGATGGGTTCGTTTGTTTGTAATATATCGTTGAAATAGTCTATTCCCAGAAGAATGTCGGGAGTAACTTCTATTGTGGAGTCTTGCAACCATATGGCGTTATCGTTGGAAAATTTTTCTTCCAGAAAGATTTTATCCTCTGTTTGTAAGTCTATTATAGCTAAGGGGTGTGTTATAATGTCGTGTGTAAGTAGTTTGACCTTTATCGATTGCTCCTGAGAATTAACTAAGAGTGTTTCGACGCATGTTACATGTTTCCTTTCTGCGTGGCCACCAAATGTGTTGACAATGATGGTGGTTTCGAAGTGGGGTATGAGTTGTAGGCGTTGTGCTAAAGGTAATGATATAAAGGATTGATCAGATGCTGAGTCCAGAAGAGCGTAGACTTGTTCTTCGCTGTTATTATTTTCATTTCTGGCTCTTAGTGGTACAACCATTAATCGAGCTTTAATATTGCTTTTGTTGTGATTAGAAAAGTTAGGCTTTATTTGTTGTTTGGCGATGTTGGCGAGTTGATGAACAGCTGTTTGGAAATTGATATGCGTTGTGGTGGGAGTATATGGTAATGGAGCGAATTTGACTCTGTTCGCTGGTACTCGTTTGGGTGACCTTAAAGGGGATTGACTAATGTGTTGACGTTGTCTTATTGGTAAGTCGTGTACTTGTTGAGTTTGCCTGAATGGTGAGTGAAGGTTTTCGCTGGTTTGGTTGAAGGGTGAGGAATTCCTTCGGCGGCGTTGTTCTTCTTGGTTGAGTCTAATTGGCGATAGTGACGAGCCTCGCCACTGGCGTCGATTTTGTTGTAGGGTATTGGTGTCTGGCGTGAGGGAACGGAAACGTGAAAAACGTGGAGGTTTATAGTAATTTGATGGTCGTCGCTTATTACTGCTTACTAATAGTGTAAGTGGTCTCTTTAGTTGAGAGCGTTTGCGGAATAGAGCGTTGTATATCGGTTGCGGTGTTGCTCTTGTTGTGGCGATTTTAGTAACGACAGTGAATGATAGGATTTCTTGATGGCGCGCCACAATGAGGCTCAGTTTGCTCGTTGTAGCAGATATGTTTTGGTGTTAGAGTGAATGATGCTTATTGTACGGCTCCTTATGACTATTCTGGGTTGAACGAACGCTTCCCAGCTTTAGCGTGTGCTGGATTACTTTTAAAAAGTCTGTTGGGTGTCCTATTGTACTGTATGAATAGTGCAAATTTATTGCAGGTGTCGAAATTGATGCAGAAGAGTAGCCACATCCAATGACCAACGGAATCGGCAAGACGTTTCATGTGTTCTTGGTAGAGGATGGTATGGTCTGATGTCTCGTTCACGAATATAGTCGGTTAGCACTTCTCTATATGTTTCTTACGTTGTAATCAAGATATAACGGTATGTCGACTTGGTTATGCTTTCGATTGTCAGTAACGTGTCTGCGATCATTAGGTTCCACTACTGTTTACCCTTGAGGCTAATTGTGAATCAGGTTGTCAAAATTCTTTTTTATGCGCTGATCTCTTCTTGAATATTTCTAGGGAATCCGATGCAATTCGACAAATCACCATTGTATGTCATGATGCATGTAGATTATCACTGCTTCGCATATCCGCTTTTTTGTCTTATTCTGTGGCCTATAATGGATTGTTATATCGCTTAAGTTGTTTCTAGGAGTGTGTGCGTGGCTCTATTCATGGACATACTTGTCATTGATTTTAAGGTCTGACGGAATCTATTGCGTTTTCGACCTAGCCTATGGGCTAATTTTTTTGGGTACTTTGCGCCCCTATGGTTCTGTGAGCTTGACTACTTGTCTGCTTGTATGATTCTCTGTCGATGAATTCATTCGTTAGTGATCGTCTGCATCTCCTTTTGCGAACAGCTCAATCCGAGGATTATTGATTCAAGTTGCTATGTTTGAGTATGGTTGTTCTGTAGCAATGTACTAATTGCTTCGGAATATTTCCCATGAAGGTTTCCAACTCTTGCTGGATGCCGTTGAATTCTGGAATTTTAGATTCACTGGTTAAGCAGTCGTTGTTCAAGAGCTAGGATTTAATGGTTGAATAGTGTTCTCTTGAGTGTTACGTGGTTGGTTGTTTGGTAGTGAGTGGTTTGTTGTAAGGAATGATAGCGTATGTCTTAAGCGGATTGCTATTGGTGGTGTTGCTACTTTTGTCAAGTTATTGCTTGTGCAATATTTGTGCGAGCGACAATTATTGCTTCTGCCATTCGGTTTTCTTTCCCAGTACTTATTGAATGCCTCTTCGTATGATTTGTTTTCTGGTGATGATTGAATTGCTTGTATGTATGACTCGTAAAGTGTCCATATTTTGTTGGTTTGTTCTTCTATTTGTCGCTTCAATTGTGTTACCTTAAACTTATTAGTGGCCACGTAGACCTTGAGTTCGGTTGCTCCGGATGGGTAAGTCCAGGTGGGGCTATATTGATTTGCTTCGTTAAGTAGTTGTTGAAGATTGTTGAGTCTCCTTGTTAAGTTTTGTTTAGAGGTTGTAATGTTGAAGGGAGAGGATGACATAAAGTGAGAGCGTGAAGAGAGCTGGCGTGTACTGAAGCACGAATGTCTAGTGAGGTGATTGTCGTGTTTATATACTGGGGTGATGGGCGGGGAAGGGGGTGGAGTTTGTTCTTATTGGTCAGTTCTTGGAGGTGGAGTTTGCTTCTGTTGTGGTAATTTTGAGTTAATTTTCTCCTGAAAGTGAGGGTTATAGGACAATGAAAATAAAGTAATACCATTGGATTAGATTTGTTGTAGTCGAAGTTCTTTGTAGGTTTAGTTTCTGTAATTACTTTGGTTGGATGATAGTCTTGTTAATGCCTTTTGTAGTATTAATTTGAAATATTGTGCTGGTTGTCAATTTTGATCACACGCTCCATGTGCAGCTGTGTTTTCTAATGGTTTCATGGTCCACTCTGTCAATTGGCTGAGTGGAGGGATGTTGAAATGGGGGGAGGTTTCTCCTTGATTAGTTAAAGGTTGAAGAAGTTGTGATGAGTTTCGAATTTGTTCTTGAGTGAAATTAATTTGGTTAGTGTAAGGGGCGACATGTAGTGGGAGGTGTCGCCGTGTTAAGTTGTTATATTGTCGAGCGATAGCTTTTTGGCATCTTAATTCCAATAGTCGTTTTTCAAGTTGTCGAATTACTGTTGCCGCTGTTCTTAGCATATTGGTTCCTTGGATGTCATTCCAAAAATCGTCAAACCGATTGAATTCTTCTTCCTTGTTCGTGTTTGTCATTGTTTCTATCGCGGAGCAGGATTGTGAGTAAATTGACCAAAGCGTGGTTCGCTGTTGCTCAATCTTGTTTTTAATATTCTTTGCCATGAGGGTCTTAGTTGTAATGAATATCTGGAGTTGTGTGTTGTCCACAGGGAAGATCCATGGGGAGCAAAATTCGTTAGCTTCTTGTATAAGTGCTGTCAGGATGTGGGTTTGTATGTCTAGGTCTTGCTTTGTGACTCTAAAATTGAATGGTTGTCGGGGACTAGGTGGCATGGACGGCAGGTGAAAGTGGTGGTGAGTTGGGAAGAGATCTACTTTAAATAGTATTTGTTGAAGTGGGAGGAGAGTTCCTGTGTTATGGGTTGTGCTGATGTCATCTGTCATCATATGTCAGTTTGTCACAGAATTTGACCGTGGTTGGTAATTGCGGTTATTTCTTTTTCTGTCGTTACAGGTTTCGCACTAATCTGTTTATTGTCCAGTAAGCAAGTGATACAATTATATGAGAAGACTACCGAGTTCGATTACAACTTGAACAAATACGTGGGTTCGGATAAGGCTATTGACAAGTTCACATAGGGAATTGGTAGGGGCAAAACGCTGAATTGTGACGGTTCATGAGGTGAGTGCGACGATTGCGTCTACAAAAGAAGCACTGTAGATCTACTTGCAAAATGTACCAGATATTTGCTTCTCGTAGGCAACGTTCGCACCTATTTCTATGGCGGCATTGTTGACGTCTCTCCGAAAGGGTTGGATATTGTGGACATTCAGATGCCCAGTGGTCCCCATTACAGAATGCACAATAATTGTTCACTTGGGGTTGTCGGTTAACTGGTGGAGGTGAAACATTGCGATTTCCATCGCGGTTGTCTCTGTTTGGAGCGTTTTGCTAGGGTTGGTCACGTTCGCGGTCCAGTATTGCGTTCGTTAGACGTTGGGTGCTGCGTTCGAGTTGAGCTATGCGTTGTTCCATGTTCCGTAGGATATCCTGAATTAATGTTGTGTGAATAGAAGAGGTAATTACAAAGTTTCCTTCTTGGGGAGATACCTCATCTATTTGCTTTTTATTCCTTTTCGCCTGGAATATTGAGCCAGATGTTTCCCCGTGAGTGCGTTTCTTAAACAAGCAAAAGTCTTTAATGTCTAGGGGGGTTTTGAGTGGGTGTTGAGGATTATCAGGGTATCAATTGAATTCAATCACCTGGTTGTTAGTGACAGTCCTTGTGAGGGTGGCAATCGCGGACTGGAGAGCTTTCAACTCGTCGGCCACATTTGGCTGAGGTTCTTGGTGGCTTGGCACTGCCTTGTTGAAGTCGTCGTGATCGAAGGGAATTTCATCTTCTTCGTCGTCCATTTGAAGTTGATCTTCGTTGTCGTCGTCGTCAGTGTTATCGTCGACAATATTGTCGAGATTCTGATTATCAGACATATCTGAAAAGCAGAGGTTAGTCGTATTCTTGGTAGATACAAAAGGTGACGGAGACGCAAGATATGTGTGTCAATAATGGTAGTTCCGTTTTAGAGGAAATTATGAGAATGGAAGAAGGGGCATGATAGAGAAATGTTATCGAGGTATCTGTGTTTGAAGAGGGGGTTTGGCTCTTTTATACCGGCGAAGGTGTCGAGATTCATATGTTTTTTTTTGAAGAGTTATGATATGTTGGAGGAGGAGCCAATGTAAATTTCGTGTTACGGTATGTAGCTGTTTTTGTTAATTGCATGACAATAATGAGTAATTGTAACCTTTTGCCGGTTTGTGAACGATCTAGTTCACAATAAGGTGTACTGTAACTGTCAAGATGCTGAGAAGCATCTATCGGTCATGTAATGGAAGCACCCTTTTTGTTTTCTTTGTGGAGTGGAGCAACCTCAACTTCAGTCTGGAAATATAGTATCAATGTGCTGGAACAAGCTATTTCATGAATCCCTTTATTCGGCGTGTAACATCTAGCTCAAAGTGATCAAAAACAAGGCTTGTGATCGGCGGTTGGCAGCTTAATGGTCATTTCTTTCAGCTCGTCTGAGCTCTTGTCGAAGTAGTAGCGAGATTGACGCGTATGTCGACGCTTCCAGCTGTGTCAGTCGTGCTTCCAGAGCTTGTTGTTTCTGCTGCAATTTCGTGCGAAGTTAAGGTGGTTTCAATCGTTACGGCAATATTTTATGTCATCGTCCAATATTTTACTTACGATTGTGATAGCTTGTATATGATGAAGATGTCCGATTTCATCGTAGATACGGTGGAGGTGCTCTTGTACCGACATCATCGGGGGATGAGGCGGCATAGGGTGGTTGTCGTTCATATCTAAACTTAAATAGTTAGGTGTGTGTCTTTGAAGTGGACTGGTGTTCATGACGAAAGGTTCTACGAGTAGAGATCACGAGATCAGAAAGACCTAAAGTAGAAGTCGAGAGAATGAAATTAAAGGATTGGAAATCGGATGGTGTATGGGAGTGTGTCTTATATACTTGTCGCTCTACGTGACCTTTGTTAGAATTTTGTAGTTTTTCAAGAGTGTATCTTTTTGCCTGTCTCCGTTTCGGCTAGCTCGATTACGGTATGGTTGTGTTTTTGTTTCGATAAGCAGAGGTGGGAAAGTGGCGGAGGCGTCGGTAGCGTCGGATGACTAAGGTGTCTTAATCGTGCAAAAAGGCATAGAACCACGTGCAGTGTTTGTTACGAATGCAACTATTCATGGTAATTCGATTTGGATCTTTGAGGTTTCGTTTTGTGTCTTTGTTTTTATTAGACATATTGTTTCATTAATTCGGATACAGTCTTCTTCTGTCGTTGCGGCGGGCCGTGGTCCTTGCGCTGTCGATCGTCCATTCGAGAATGGTGACATGTCGTTCAATTCCTTCAATCGTTAGTCGAAGATGGTTCAGCCGTTGCTTGAGTAGTCGTGAGCGAGCAAGGAGATGTCGCTTTGCTTGTTCTGTCTCGGCTTGTTCCATTCTGGAATGTAGGTTATGATGGGCGTCGTAAGTGTATATATCTCATTAAAAACAACTAATCTAGATAACATTGGGTTTCAATCCCTCTGCTTCATTCATGTTGGATTGTGGCAAGAACCTTTTATTTTTATTTCATCGATAAAAAGGATATGATATTTTTCATTCCCAGCGTTGTTCCTGTTCATAAAACAGTGCCAGTGTTTCGGAGGCCTCTATTTCACATCGAGTAATTCTGTTCTCCAGGTCCATCGTGGTTTCGACTAGTGCTGAAAGTTGTTCCAGGAGCTCTTCTATGCTGTTAAGAATGTGTTCGTACTCGATTCGGGTTAGTGTCACAAATTGGTTGTCCATATCTGAAAAGTGTTTTGGTTTCATTACGAAGGTGAGATTCCAGAATTAGAGCGTAAGATAGGAGACGTAGCTTATGTGTTAAGGAAACTTATTATTTGTTTGTTGACCATAATGTGGGTCGACTGGCTTGTATATTTTTCGTGAGTTTAAATAGGTCGACTATATGTTGGACGTTGTTTTTAATCTCGCGCTGAGTCATCTCTGTTCTACTCATTACGGTAATTTCGGAGCTTGTGCTGTTTTTTCGGGTGGTCGTGTCTTTCGTGTGTCAATTTCAACGTTCGGCCTTTTTTGGGCGAAGTCGGCGGCGCGTTCACGCCGCGCGAGTGCGGTCAAAAAAAGTTCGAAACAGTGGCTGAGTAATATATATTTAGCTGATGACGTCATGGTCTTTCAGCCTTTCGATTGTAGGTCTTATGGATATATTGTAGGTTCACTTCTAAATTTAATTCTCTATGATGTCTTGATTATTGTTGATTTTCTAAAGACTTCGTATTTTTCGCGCTTAGTTGGTAGATTAAAAGGGTGAATAAATCAACGATTTGTGTGCGTGCGCGCGAGTTTCGCAGCTTGATTCCATTGCAGCTAAGTTGTCGTTTTTTGTCTCGCTATTGATTTGCTCTCGGATTGTGGTATCCCCGTAGCTAGGCTGATCGGTGGTGATCGCTTCAGTCTGTTGAGGTTAGTACTTTTATGACACTGATAAGATGGCTTTGTTGTTCCGGCATTGATCCCTGGTAGGCCTCTTTATCATGTTTCGTACATTTACCGGTTCCTACTCAGTGAATGGCCCAAGCGCTCAATTATGAGTATATCCATGTTTCGTTTATGCCATTTTATGTTTTAACTTCAATGTCGTTCATTTCGTAAAGATTGTACGGGTTCCAATTTCATCGGAGCGATATACTGGGCACTTATGGATTGGATTTATATGTTTCTCGTCGAGTTTGGTTAGGCCCGTAATTATAATTAGGATTAGTGAGGGCCGGCGCGCCTCGCATATAATTTTGTCTCACTGGACAGCGTTCGTCTGATGTTCTTTTTCAGGGTTGTTAGAAAGGACGTTAGGACCTGGGATATATTCTAGTAGTGTTGGAAAGGATGGGTGTTACTTACATATTTTATAGAAGTCTAGTCATTAAATGCGTTGATATGCAACGATACTTGATTTACTCAATAGTTACTCCTTTAGTTGTCGTCTTGTATGCTGATTCAAGCAATGTAAAGAGCGTGTAGATGACTTTCACTAAGGAACTGTCACTTGAGGAGGAATAGAACTACTCTCGTAGACTCCACTTTTACTAAAACATTGGTTCAAGAATGTGTCATGTATGGCCTTCAATTGATTAGCGACGGTGGTGTCGCGCGACTTTAATATTCCTGACACCCATCACGAAACTTTCTTTTTGGTTTAATAAATTTTTCGTTTACTTTTTATTTCCTATGAATGTAAGCGTCTTTAAATACTAGTGTGTGAAGTGTAGATACAGTACCTTAGAGATGATAATATATGTGTTTTTGATTAAAGTAGATATCCAACCTCTAAAATTGTACCTTTGAAGTCTAGTTGCCAGTTGTTCCTAAAGAATATCACTATTTTCAGTGAAACGCATATGTTACTATTCAATGTCTATTTCAATAGAAAATATCCAGGCTGACTGTAAACCTCCGAGTAGCCGTTGCGTGCTCAGGTAGACAATCATATTTGATCTGGCCTGGCTGTGATAATGATCCATTACTTAGCGTTCTCTTATCAACAAACTTTGCTCCAATCTGAAGACCTGAGCGCGGCGGTCGCTCGCAGGAAAACGCCGCTTGCGCTCACGTGGCCAAAAGTGCCAAACTCGCCGTTGATTCGTCAACGTCCGTTGAATTTTGCTTTCTGTGAAAGACACTTGAACTTTTTTTTTCTAATTTATTTGTTAACGCGGCTGACACGGCGAGGTCACATAACAATCTGATCTTATCAAAGTCTTCGGTCGCGGTGGCGTCTCGTTAATGTATGTTACGATGATCTTCGTCATTAGGGTGATGAAGTTGCACCAAGCATTAGATGACGAATGGTAGTTGCTGTGCCTATCTCGGTTAGACGTGCACCTCCGGCCGCGCATTGTGTCTAGCTGGGATTCGTTGCTTAAATTTATCTTACTTTATTATTAGATTATAATAATTTGTTTTTTTATTTTAATGTTGATATCCGTAAACTTACATGAAAGTGCATTGCAGCCATTGGTATGGAGATTCGGCGCGGCCTGGAAGTGTCGGTAAAATTCCGGTCTACCGGATAGAGTTGATAACGGCGACGCGGAAAATGACACTATTACTGGCATCTTACCCATTGGTAGTGGTAAACAAATTACCGAAGGCCACTGTGATCGTCCAGGTCCATCCAATTGTGCTTCGTTGGTTTCCTTAGTTATTGTTGCTTGTTATCGGGGCCTGTCATTTCGTGCACGTATTTGATGTATGGTTTTCGTTTTGTGTGTGTATTTGTCTGAGTTTTTTAGACTCATGGTGAGGATTGTACGTGATTTAAAGTTGTATTTCTGGCCGATACGTTGACCTTTTATGCTCTACAGCCGAATGTTCTTGACATTCCAGAGTGTGTAGTTTTACAGGGGCGGACTTTGTGTTAATAAACGATTTATTAATTCGACAAGCAACGTGATGATCAAACAGCAATGGAGAGAGCAGAGAGGATTAGAAGTTGGCTCATCCGTTGTTTACATTACTACATCTCGTATTGTTGTCCTTAGGCTATGTGTCCGAGTGTAAGTCATCTTGTCGTCTTAACGAGTGGCGAGTCCGACTGGCATAGAATCGTCGTGTCGTAGTTGTAAAGGTTAGGGTAGATGGTGTGCGACCGCAATCGCTTGACGAGAGAGCCGGAGCCCCAGAAGGAAGAGAGAAGAGTTGAAAGAGGCTAAACTAAAGGTGACACCGAAGTGGAAGACTGCCTCTGCCGCCCGGAGCGCGCTCTTTATACCTCCCAGAAGGGGGCGGTATATATACCTGTGCTAGTAGGCGGTCCGGTGGGCATGGCAATTTGGAATTGGTTGTAGTTTGTACGCGGTAAATTCAAAATGTATATGCCATGTTTCGGCACTTGTTTGTTGTAACAGGGCTTAGCCTTAGGGTATTTAGGGGACCAGTCTTTATCATGACTGGGAAGTCATGACAGGCGTCTTTTGCAGTACGAAAATGGGGCACTTGGCCTCAAACGCAAGCTGAGAGCGTCCCATCGACCATAGCACCGTAAAATAGCTTTGGCATCAGGACGGATATTGAGGTCACCTAGCGATTGGATAATGGTTTCTGTGACTCTAGCCGTTTGATGGTTCTTGATAAGAGTTTGACCTGCTACTTTCACCTCAGATGCGTTGAGGAATTTAGAGCCCGAAGGTATTGGTTACAGCTGCTAACTCCATTTTTGCTACGGTGGGCACTGATCTTCTGCACAAGAGCGCGGATAAAACGAAGTACATATGTCATAACACGCTTTGCCTGTGTAAGCGTTCTTACTAGCCCAGGACCAATCAGTTCGTCCTTTGCAGGTATTGGAACACTTGTAGCCGTAAGTATTTCCGTAAGCTTTTCTTCTTCTCGTGGTGTATCCCCTTTGTCGTCGCTGAAGGCCACAAGTGTACCTTCTTCTACTTCCCGAAGGTTACTGTTCGCCAGCCAGGTAGGACCAGTCCACTATATGTGGTTAACTAACTCATCCTTCGTGAGCCCTCTAGTCCCACAATCGGCCGGGTTGCTTTCCGATGAAACATAGCCGAACTTCGCTACCAAGTTTGCATTGGCTAGATGTACCAAAATTTTTTTCTATTTCCGTTATCCTATTGCATACAAATGGGCCTACGTCTTTTCTTGGTTTCTTTCGTAACCAGCTTAGGATAATTTCCGAGTCAGGGAAAATGTACACTCTCCTGATATTACCGTGTTGTCTAACTGCGAAGCTATGGAATTGGATACTCTCATTGCTAGTGTAGTAGCGTTTAACTCTATTTTGGGTATTGTGAGTTTATGATGCAAAGAAGGAAGTTTAGTCTTTCCCCTGAACGGTATTGACAATAGCCTTCCATTCTTCCTCTCGCTCTTTTGGTAACACGGTGTCCCACTCATATTGATCCCTCCAAAGACGAAGAAACTTCTTAGCCTTATGAAGAAGAGGAAGTACTCAACCAAGAGGGTCATAAATCGTTGCAATAGCACTACTTATTGTCCTCTTGGTGATATAGGGGTTTCTGGGAACTGGAATGATATCACAATTACATCTTTGTCGAGATCCCAAGGAATCCCTAATACCCTAGGGGTTTTCTCCATCGTCCTGTCAATGGTATCGATATGATTCATGAGCTCTATATAGTTCGTGGCGAATTCTCTCAAATTCATATTGAGGTCACTGAACATTTGCTTTGTCCGCTGATAGTAAAGGATGCCCTCGTCAATCGTGTCCGCTGTTAATACCAGGTTATCCACGTACATGTTGCTCTTGATATCGCTTACTAGAGGCTTTTCTGTTCCGTAGGTATTGAGATGGTAATGGGTTGTACCGGCTAGAAGATAGAGTGACGATTTTCACCCAAACGTAACCCAAGTAAATCTATAGGTTACGATATTGGTTCTTGACGGTGGAATTCTATAGCCAAAGGCAATGAGTCACATCCCTATTTCGCTCCTGGAGTCTGACCTGCAGGAATGCTTTTTCGGTATCAGATGTTATTGCAATTTGTCCAACCCAAAAGCGCAGTAGTATTCCATACAGTAAGGTTAAGATTACTGGCCCTCTAGTGAGAACATCATTAAGTAAGGGACAGCCCTTATAATGAGATGACGCATCAAACACCAACCGTAATTTAGTTGCAGTTTTACGTGGGGTTATTACTGGATGGTGCGGGATGTAATGTACATGACGGTCCCCCTTATTTTCACTTTCTTCGACTAGCCCAATCACATGTTGCGCTAATTGTTCTTGTTCGTTTTTGCGTAAATCGGCGTGAACATTGACTAGACGCTAATACGCGAGAGCTTTATTGTCCGGTAATCGTGGGTATTGCTCCTTCCAAGGAAGCCGGACGCAATACCCATCGTGTCGTCGTTTGATGGTCTCACTGAATTGCTGCCATGTTTTCCTGTCCATCTCCCTCCGAAGCTCCCTCTCAGAGCTCCCGAACTGATCTGTGCCGGCCGCCTCTATTGCCAAATATTGGTCCCACTTTTCTTGCTCCTCCTGGGTAATCTCTGTACTGATTGTGCTAATTGAATACTCTGTTGATTTTCTTTTATCCAAAGACAACAATAAAGAGCTCGGTGGAGCTGCTGATACTCGTTTTTTCTTTGGGGCCGAACTTTACCGCAAACGAGTTATCCCAACTTGGTTGGTAGGATGTGTAACCCGGATGGTAATTCTATGGAGGGTATGTCGCATCTAACGAACGACCATAGATGGTCACACCCAAGAAGAATCAAAGGTTGGATGAGCAGATCCTCACCAACTATGGCCAGTGGTAAGTTCAATAACTTGACAAACTCCATGTCTTCTACCGAAACTGTGGGAGACGTGAGTGGGCACGTCAAGCCATCATGTGTTGAAAGCTCTAAGGAGTGTAGGATGCCTTCATTATCCCATACATCTAGGCCCACTCTTTTGGAATTGCACCTCTTATTCTCCCTAGAACCAAATGTATTGATCAATATTGAAGTTTCTTCTAAAACTGGTAGATGAAGTCTGTCCGCTAGTGAGGAATCTATGAAAGGAATCTCTGCTTCGGTGTCGAGAAGAACATTGACTCTGGATAAGGCCCTAGTCTGGTGATCCATAACTGTGATTTGACCTGTAGGTAACAATGCTCTCCACAGTTTGTGTTTCCTTTCCTCTGAATTGATATGGAAAGTGCTGAGCTCTGGTGGGTCAATACTCCCCGTGGTGAGAACATTGGACTGGGTTAGATTGACCGCTCTGCTACCGTTTTTATTGGACCTATTAGATCGTTTGTTTTGGGGCTTCAATGATGTCTCAGGAAATGTTTCCCCGGAATCGTTCTTACTGAAGGGTGTTGAGTTCGTTTTATTTGCAAAGCAGCAATATGTGTGATGAGCACCCTTACATTGGAATCAGGGACGTCCCTTGCACGAGAGTGTGTTATGAGCAGATGAGGCACAAATTAAGCACAACTTATTTTTGCGGAGGTACTGGGAGCGTTCCTGTGGAGTGGGATATTTATCGCAATTCCTAGACGAGTGCCCTTCCTTACAATGCATACAATACTTTGTTATTGAAGGGACTGGTCTTCTTAGCGGGATATGCCCGTTGCTGTCCTTCATTGTTCTCCGAAAAGAGCAAAACCATTTCTTCTGTTGCCAGTATGTCCTCCAAGTATTGAAGCATTAGGCATTGTGAAGGGGGTAACTATTGGTAGTTCTTGCTTCTTAGCGATAACTCTACGTCTCACATTATCAAGGAACTGAATGAGGACCTTTTTCAAGAGCCATGAACTGCCTATGTCTTCCCCTTTCTCTTTAAGTTGCACTATAATTACTTGAATCTTTCAGTAAAGTGCGCTGGTCTTTTATTGAGGGACTTCTCAATGCGCAAGCATCCAATTGTTCTGCTAAGTTACTTATTAAGAGCTCTCCATTGTTGTTTTTGGATAAAAGAAAATCTATCGTTCTACTGTGTTTCCCTTAGCGACCTGGAACTTTTTTATCGATTCTCTAGCTTCACCCTTAAGCGCGTTCAATAAGTAATTGAATTTATCCATTTCAGGTAAATCTCGAGAATGTCTGTTATTGTTAAAGAGCTCCCAAAAGTTACCCCATTCCCACAAGTTCCCCCCGAAAGTTGGTATCGGCAGCGGAGGGAGCTCTCTTGTTGTGGGTGATACATGCGAGGAGAAGTGGCATTCGTGATGTCTTGAGCCGATATTGATTGTATTGGAGGCGTATGAGTCATTGCGGTTAATGCGTGAAGCTTCGCTTGCATTAAAATCGTTAGACCGATTGCATTAGCTAGTGCTGACTCAGCTTTGTCCGCATAGTTCTCATAGTCTGTAGGATCCCCATCAACTATTTCGCCTTAATCGAATATTGAAGCGAACTCCATCCATACCTATTCTACTTTTGCTGATGCGCAAGCTATTGCACTAATGCCCTCTTGTAGACGAATGATGATTTCGCTCATTAATTGACCTGATGTATTGAAATCTACGGGACCGTCATGCAATTTTTCATCCCTCAGCCTCGAAACAATGTGAGTCAACTTATTGACGTGCAATGTGATGAGCCTTTTCTGGACCGAAATTATATGAGACATATTGGCCCGTAGAGAATCGGCAAGTGAGAAGACGAACGAAAGAAGGAACTTATGTCCGAAATGAGCGGTCTGAGAAAGAGAAAATGAACGATTTTAATGACCGCAATTGTTTTGGCTACCGAGAGATAGAAGGGTATTGAAGAAACCGACCTGGAGTCGAATCCCGATGCACCAATTTTGTAGTAGTTGCTCGCCCTACAGTGAGATCCTCACTGGCCACGCGTGAGGTAATAGAATAGAATAATACCAATCCTTTATTGATCCGGTAGGATAGAAGAGTAATTGAGCACCAGTCTTCTTCTATTGGGTGGCAGGTAGCATTGTCCATCCCGACTCTCGAAATGGATCCGCGGAAATCAGACCTCAGGATCGAGTATTGAAAACCGAACAGCGCTATTGAGTCGGCTGGAGTGGTAACCAGGAGCTCGACCTGAATACGGATATAAGTCTGATGAAGACTAGAAGCTCGACCTGAATACAGACCCCAGCATCGAGTATTGAGACAGGGAGCCGAGCAGCTATTGAAGTAGTCGGCAGGAGTGGTAGCCAGGAGCTCGACCTGAATACAGATATAAGTCCGCTCAATATCAGGAGCTAAAAGGGCTAGATTGTAACCCGCCTTGGGGGAAGGAAGCACGCTTAGCAGTGGTGAGAGCTTATCGGCGGGGAGATCGAAGCCGCGGAGACAGCCGAGACGGTTCGCTCTTTCTATTGAGGCGTTGACGAGTATTGATGGTATTGACTGCCGGACCAGAATTACCGGATAATCTTTGGGGATGGAGTCCCGATGAAAGCTCTATGGAAAATCCGCCCAGGGGTGATATGGTGAAGCTTTTATACAGCTACGATAGCGCACATCGAATCTGTATAACTTGTGAATATAGACATATCTCTCCCCAAGGTCCTCATGTTTTGAGAAGTGTGATTTCTCATGGATTGCTTAGCCCAAAGGAATGTAAACACCATTACCACTTGCCTGAAGCTATGGAAGAAGTCGCCTTTTGCGACACAGGTCACCTCTCATTTATTAGGATTGTTTTGGGTTGTATCATACATCTCACATATGATCCTTAATTGAAGAGCAGATAGCTTTACCTGGAAAGCGACAACAGAAATCTATCAACTCTCTTGATATCAAAATGAGAAACTGACGGTTAAGGGATCTTTGTTGTATCCTGTTGTGGCCATTGATTGTATGGTGTTAATTCCTTCGTGAGCAGTTTACTGTCCAATTCAGTTGTGGCATTGCAGCTGCAGTGAAGTGCAGTTGTAGTGGGGCGAAAACACTTAGCGAGTTCTTATTTGTGTTACTTGTTTGTGCCGTGCGAGGTTTTTAGGTGGAACATTTATTAGTTCGGCCTTACGTTTCGACACTAGATTATAATATTCCCTTTGGGCGCTCCCGTACAGTAACCCCACACGAAGAATTAATCGTCATCTTCGATGTTATTGATGCACGCACACACAAGGTACCCTACCACACGCGCAAACTAGGCTCTTGACTCAGAAGAGTCTGAAGGGCAGAATAGTATTGCCGGAAAGTAAGGGGTCTTCGTCGACGAGCACGTCAATCCAGGTTCAACCGTCCGTTGGACAAAGTCCAACGTGACGACGAGTGTAATGTCGAGAGTGGACGTACGCACGGAGACACAGACGGCTCGCGGGTGGCGAGAGTGAATGCCGGCGCGGAGAGCGCTCAACATGGTCCAACGTCGCTCCAATATCGGTCCAACGTAACGGTTGACCCTGCGTCAATCCCCTGCAGCCAAGAGGCTTGAGCAATATGTTTCTCACAGTGTAAGCATGTTGTAGATGGACTTGTATATGCGCAATTTTGGCTCCTATTTGATCTAGACTAATCGATCGTCTCTTTACATTGATAGAAAACCCTCCAGCCTAAGCTCGGTTGTTGCCGAGAAATTAAGTAATTCGGGTCATAAATTATTTCATTGTACAAGGCCTTCGTGCATCTTATCAATACGAACAGAATGCAAGTTCCAGATAATCTTGCTTCGTAACAAAATAAGCCTTCATGAGCCTTAATGAGCTTTCTGACAAAATCTCAGCTAGAAAAACAGATCGAAATTCATGGGCTCAAATACCCAGCACATTTTGGAGAACAATTGGTTTCCTTTGCTGAAGAGGCCCGGACCTTCCTCTTCCATAGCATGCTTCAAGACCACGCAACATTTGCCGTGTCCGGCGCTCATTTCGATTTTCGTCGTTGTCTGTGCTGACTTTGTAACGAGTTCAAATAGGAGGCGCAACAAATCCGAAACAAAGAAAGGGCAAAAGATATGCAGGAACGTATATTCATGTTAAATATATCAAATATATGATGTATACTGCTACATATTAAGTTGTCGACAAAGTTGCTTTTCAATATGTAAACTTATATAAGAGCGAAAGTCATACCGGCGCTCATGTCATTAGGGGAACATTCAAGTGAGTGAGCCATTTATAATGGTTGAAGCTAAGCCATAGGGAGAGGAAGGGATTCTGGGACATGTGAGCAATTTCCTTTCTCATTGCTGTTTCCTCACTCCTGAGCTAATCCTAGTTCATGGTTTTTAAATGCCTTGATTTGAATGTCCCCCTAAGGACACGAGTGCCGTTCTTCTGTCGTGTCTGAATGCCATGTCTGTCTGTAAAAAATACGATTAGGAGCATTTGTTAAACAAAATGCCTCAACAAGATGACCGAAAATTTCTCTCAAATTTAGGATAAAGGCTTTCAGTCATTGTAAAAACACGATCTTTTCATTCAAATTAGATTAAAATTTGAGCACATACCCTAGTAAAGGGTGAAAGCCTGATTTGCGCTCCTCGGCGAAGACCTCGTACTGTCCGGCAACGTCTATTTTTCCGTTTAAGCTCTTCTGAGGCAAGGAGCTTAATTGCGCGTGTGATAGCGTGTCTTATGTGTGCGTGCAACAATAACATCGAATATGACGGGGAATTTTTTGCGTGTTGGATTACTGTACGGGAGCGCCCAAAGGGAACATTATAATCTAGTCGTTTCGACAAGATCGTCGTCTTCTGAGGCCTAAATGCGTTAAAGGTTAAGAATTGACGTTCTTCCATCAAACGCTCCATCTCCTCTAGCGGTTCCGACATTCCGTCAGGAGCCCACCGAGAAAACATAATGAAAATAAGTTTCGAAAACTCACCTCGGGGTTCCACCGTTTGCGCAGCGTTTACGCTACCACCAGAGACGTTACCCAGTATGAAACAATGCACGCCGCATTGTCTCCTGATTTTAGTGAAAATTGGGAGACGCACGTACGCCTCATCTATAGGCTCGCAGTGCGGTATATACGGTGAAAGATCACTTGTCATTGATGAGCGCTCATCTCAGACGTTCATTGCTGAATTCTGGAAAGAAATCCAGAATGCCTTCAGTGCTTTTCTCGCAGTTATTTCCGTCTCATGCGCCAACGCCGTAACATTATTTCAAATTCAAACCCCGTTGTGTCCTCGACTTGTGCCTTCCAAGAGCTGTTGAACGAGCACCGCGTCTCATGCTAGCCTGGTGTTCTTTTATGCGGATGGCTAGAACCCTTCCTGTTTCTCCAATATAAGTTGTATTACAAGACTGGCATTCAATTTGATAAATTACTTCCCTATATGCGCAGTCTCCTATTATACCGTATGGACAAATAACACAACCGTCTGACATGCACTGATTATCATAAAGCCTGTTTCGCACTAGTTGCCGTCCGATGTTTTCGTTGGGAATATTAACTAACTGAACATCGTTCTGCAGCTGTGCTCTTCCAATGCTTCGCTGAACTGAACGAGTAATAAAGGAAATCTGTGATAAATGATTGCCGTTGGAGATGAAAAGCAGAGATATAAAATGTGCTACGGCTTTGCTTTGGGCGATGGGTAAAAATAATGTCCAAAACATACCTCATTTCGATCTCATCTTCTGTGGAGTCTCCCGAAGTTGTAGATTGGTTTCACAGCCAATACCGACTTATGTTTCGATGCTCACGTCTTAGCATTGCTTCGAATGCTCGGAGGTAGGCTTCTTCTTTGCACAGCTCACTCGAAAATAAGGATCTTCCCGTTCTTGTCAGGGCGTTCAAAATGTATCCAATACCTACTCTTGAACATACTGTCATTTTTCTGTGCTTAAGAAAAAATTTATTCAGGTCATAGAGCGGGTTCAAAACAGCTACATTAGTAAAGTTCCCATAAGAGCACGTGAGTACACTTGCAATAGCATTCTTCTCGCTGTTGTAAGAAATAGAATGTCTAATTCAGACTCCCTCAGCAAAATGACATAATTTATGATTTAATTTTTTGATTAATGATTTAGTCACTGTGCATAAAATTATGCAGAGTTCAACCTCATCCGCTGCCACAGAGTTGCTTTTCTTCAAAAATTCTAGAAATAGACGTAGTTCAAACAAAATATGCTTCACTCCGGTCACGACTTCAGTTGGCAGACACTTCTTTATTCATAGGGCCGGCCCAGAGTATACTAATGGAATCTTCTACGGAAAGACTGGTCATTCTTATTTTGTGTCTAGGTGTTGTGCATGATCATTAAAGACCATGTGCACAGTTCGGAGCGAAAAGAATGAAATACCCAAATGATACAGCACCTCCCGGCCACTACGGCAAATACTACACATTTCAGGTGATAACGTTGTGAGCAGTGGTGAGAACTGCAAAAAATCCACCTCACTTCCGAGAACGATATTCCACAGTAACGAGCCACCGCACCCTCCCCCTTTTATGACCCCAATCGGGTTGCTCTCATAGTTTCTCTAATACCGTTGCGGACGTGGCGGAAAGTGCGGACTGCGGAATTGCGAATAGTGTCAACCAGGATCAACAGCACGTTACGCAAAGAACGCGAGGAAGTCGTATTCGACCCAAGCAAAGGGAGGGGTCGTAAACAAGGAAACCAGCAGTGGGATGCATAGCGATCCCCTCAGCTGCTGAGGAGTGTAGGGGATGTGTAATGTAGTAGGAAAGTTAATTTGTGAGAGTATGTGATTAAATATAATTCTCGAAAGAACTAATAAAATAATAATAATAGTAGTATAATCCCACAAGTGAAATTGAATTAGCATGACACACACAACTACACTTGCGACACTCTCGCCATCCCCAGAACAGTGGAGGACCTTCAAATGCCAGTGCGACTGCCAATCGCTGACAAGTTCACGACGTATCCCTGAGCATTAGTTCCTGAAAACAATTTCTCTGTCAGCGGCCGTGCGAAGTTCGGTTTTTTCGCAGGAAGCTTGAAGCTTTCAGAACAAATATAAGTTAAGGAAAGGGGAACAATTCGTTGTTCGCTACTGAAGAAATATTAAAAATTCTGTCGGGACGGCTTCGCAGAAAATTACGCATGAATCGTAAAAAGCTATTGATGTCGAGTTCAACGGTTTTTACCGCTTCTCATCATAGTGGTTTCAAAGAAAATTACGGGGGTTTGAAGAATGAATAGTCGCGTTCCAGGAAAATAACCCAAAAAATTCATAGAGGAAAAAAACAACGGGACTGCTTTCAAAAGAGTGGTCATTTAGGAAAATCATCCTGT